CCTCCAATTGACAATGCTTTAGATTTGGCAAGTAGGTTCACAACAAGGGATATCCCATCTCTCTATAGACAGGCCATTTCCTCAGAATTCATTTTCTTCTCCCACTCAGTGCAAGGACCAAGATGGTCCCCTTAGTGCAGGTTGAAGAGGGATGAGGTCTGGAGTGAGGGTGCCATTCACCTTCCCTAATGGGCTGCAAAGCCCAGCATGGCTCATTCTTTGCTTCCTGAGAAGAAGAGCGCAAAATCAGTCCTTAGTTCTTTGTCATGGGGGGTTGGGGTGGAATTTTCTCCCTTGGCTAAGCCCCTGCCTAGAAAGAAACAATAGGAAAGGAATGTACAAAGAACTGCATCTGGAGGTGAGGACTGTGTCTCCACTGATGCCAGGAACAGACCTGAGTGGAGTGGGTGTTCCCAAAGCCAGCTAGGTTAGATTTTGCAGCTGGAGTCCCTTTTCACTGATGGAGATTTGAAGCCATCTGGACAACTAGAGCCCTGAATATGGAGTACTGCTGCCCAGCTTAGAGTCCCCAGAGACACCACCATCACGAAAGCCTAATGAAGTTGCCAAGGGAGTGGGTCTGGAGGCCTCACAGCAGGGGAAAGGATATGGAGCAAATACAGTCCCAGACTCAGCAGAGGGCCCAGAGCCAAAATATGCACGGCAGGCAAAAATGCAAAAATCAATTCACAAAGATAGCAACACTGAAGTCTAGATAGAGCCTGACTGAGTGAGTTCCCTGGCCTTTGTTGGCTGCAGGCACTGGAGGAACCCCATCCACCCAGGCTGCCCCAGCACCACAGTGGAGGCAAGGCATCAGCTGCAAGCTGCTGTGGCTAGCTCAAGAGTCTGGGACCAGTCCCCTTGGCCTCTGCCAAGCAAAAAGCAAACCTCTGCCCTCCTTCCTTCATCTACAGCTTGGTCCCTGGCAGGGTGCATCTGGCCAGGTCTGCTCTGTTTTCTTAAGTGTTCACTGAGCCAGAAAGGAGCCGGTGAGGAAGGAAGGGAGTGAAGAAGGATAATGGACTCGAGGAAGGGCCAGGATGCTGGCCTCCCGAGGTAGCATAGATTCCAGTGAATACACTACTGACTGTGAAAGGTGGCAGGGCTGCCTGTTCCAATTCTAGCACTTCTGGGAGTCATTTCTCAGCTCACATTTCCCTCCAGTGACAGATACATAAATCCTTGGCTGAAGAGACTGCCGTGCCCCTTACTGTCTCAGACGTGATTTTCCTTAAATGAATTGCAGCACCTCCTTTAGACTTGCATAGGTCAGATGACCAGATCAGGCCAGTGACATAACCACCAAGCTATGATGGTGAAGAAGGAAACTATGATTCACTGTCAACTACCTGGCCCTGTGTCTTTGCAAGTCAAAGTAGGTACTGGTGGACAGGCCCCTTAGACCTTCCTGGACAAATCCATGGCATAAACAAGCATGTGATACACTTCATAGACATACAGAAAAAACTTCTGTATATCTGAAAACAAACTCCCAGGTATTTCTGGATGGTTTTTCCACTTGTGAAATGTCTCTGTCAATGCTTGGCCTCAGCTTAGCTTCTCCTTGCATCCAGTTTTTCTCCTAGTTTCTGTATACATGAGGGATGCAAGCCCATTTTCAAATCAGCCCAAATTAAGAAGTATTAAAAAAATACTTAAATATTAGAACCATAGTGCAATTTCAAAGAGCTATACATGATTTTTTCATATTATCTTCTATTTTGGATTATCCATGCAACATGTCTGATGTTATCCCAGCCATGTGAAATTCAACTATTATTGTATTGGGATTTGTGTGTGAGTGAATAATTTATTTTGCAAGAAACTTCTTTCTTTATGCTTGATTTGGACTGTTGTCAAAGTGACCCTGCATGCTTGAGTACCCAGAGACTAGCTAGAAAGAAGGGGAACCTGGGATTTATTGACTGCTATGAAAAACCCACAAAGTGAATAATGAATATAGGAATAATCAAAATGTGATTCTACCTAGATACAAGAATGGGCTGTGTGGGTGGGTAGGGTGGCTAAAAACAGAGGCTGCAACAAAACTTTAGCACACAATTTGGTATCATTAAGAAACAAGCATGATCCTGGGTGCTCTAAATAGGAAAAAGGCATGTAAGAGCTATGAGGTCATCTTCCTTCTCTATTTCATGGCCATTGGCCACCAATGAAACACTACACTGTTCTAGTCTCCTGTGAGACAGCTAGCTCAGGGGATTAGGACAGGTGATTGAGTCCTCTGAGGTTCAGTAATTTTGCTCCTTTCTTAACCTGCCATCTTGAAAATGTGTGTTACTAGTCAGAGGAGAGATTGGGGTGGTTGGCTAAAAGCAATGTTGTGCCTGCTATACTCTCAGCTGTTACAAAGACAGAATGAAATCTCTGATGGAGAATTTGAAAACTGTCTAAAGGATGGAGAAGAATACAATATAGTCCAAAATCTTTTTATTTTTAAAAATACATTTAGCTAATTTTGGAGAGAGGGCTGACAAGGGACATAATAACTATCATTTAAGCTTAGTAAGTGATGTACAAGAAGGATGGAGGACAGAATAGTCTCAGAGAGCAAAGGTTGTTAAACACTGGACTATACAACCAAAGGATGTTGTGGTATTTCCTTTCTTAGAGGTATCTGAAGCTCAGCTGTCTCCACTGGATCCTTCTGCTAAAGACAGTTGTAGGGACCAGATAACATAGGAAAGTCATGCAAGGCTCCTAAGGAACAACCAAACCGGAAGGCAGGAGACCTTGATCACTTCTGCTTCCTTTCAGGGCTCACCCTTATAATCCGCAAGGTGAGCCCTGGGAAGAAGCAGGACTAATAAGCATGTTCCTATCTCAGGGCAATGGAAGGAGAAAGTGGACCAAAGAACTCATCACAAACTCCCATTAGAAGCAGGAACCCTCTTGTCCAGTTTTATTTTATACAAATTTCCCACCAAATCTTGTCCAAATCTGTCTAGAAATTGACCCAAGTTAATGCAAAATTGCTGCAATGACATATTTCCTTTCCTTTTACTGTGGCTTTGTGCATTCAGAAAAAGACTGCAACCTCCTTGATTTGTTTTCTGGAAATACCTCCTTACATTTGAGTTGAATATGCCCATGAACAATGCTGAAAAGAAATCTGTAGAAACTGATGAGGACAACCCCAACAATCTTCCAGTGGCTGCTTCTTTGTGTGTGCCGGTGTGTGATAGAGACAGTGGTCTGGAGCAAAGAAAAGGCCTGCTGCTAATCTGGAGTGTTGAGTGTCATGGGCCAGAGCAGGACACAGTGAATATAAAAATAGCAGGGTGTCAGAGGGAGCCTTCAAGCTAGGTGTACATGGACAAGACAATCTCAAACCACACTGTATGGTTTTTATGACTCTTTGGCTTCTCTTTCGCACCTCTGCTGACAGGGTGGTACACAGCCCCAAATCCAGCGATTTGCCTACCGCTGTCAAGATTTTAGCCATATTTAACTATGTATGGTTATTTACTTCATATTTTCTTTAAAATAACTTTAAGCAGATTCATTTCTTAAAAATGCCTCCACCTTATAAATATTTTTTAAATCATAGGGTGTATATATTAGATACATTACTCCTCAATACATGTTAAATAAATAAATAGCTATAAAAATAGAAAAACAAAGTTGGTCCACCCACCACACAAAATCATCTTGCACACCACCAGCAAATGCTCACCGGGATTGGGGAAACAGTGGTCTCTGTATAGTGCATGCAGATGGTCCCCACAGTCAACAAGCAAAGCTTTATTTCTTTCTTCAATGTAAAGCCAGCAGGGCTTTAGACTGCCTGAATGGCCAGGATACCATCCTGAGCCTGCCTCCCTCGCCTTCCTCTGAGGGCTAGGGCCCTGGCCCTTATTATTTTCCTCCTTTCAGGTGCCAGCTCGAGCCAAGGCTGGAGTTTGTAAAGAACACAGGGCCTCTATTGTAAGTCAAGTGTTCCTTCCCTAGAGCTATTTCCCCTGCTGAAAATTCCACACTAGACCTCACTTAACTCAGACAGTGCCCTCTGTGGCACGGACTTCCTCCACTTTGGCCCCAGGGGTTGCTTCAGGTGGAGTGCCCCAAGCCCACATCAGTAGCTCAGAGCTCATACAAGTCCCAGCAACTTGCGGCTGGGGAAGCCGGGAGCGTATGGGTCCCCCTAGCTGGAAAATGGTCTTCCTTGGGAAGCCAGTGACCCCCACCTCTCCCTGAGCCTGTTTCCTGGGTGGTCAGGAGACAAAGAAGGCCCACAGCAAGAACACAAGGGTGGAGGCAAAGCATTTTGCCGAATTGAAAGATGTATGTTCGATAAATGCTAAACCCAAGGACTATCAGCTGACCAACAAGGGAGCCAGCTTCAGTGTAAGATGTCTTCAAGCCAAGTGGATATATCCGCCCCCCATCCCCACCCCCACCCAGGGATGCTTTCCAAGAGATTCCTGTTTTCTCTGGAGAATTAAGGTCATTAGTGACTTGCAACTTTTTAAAATTGTTGTTAAACATCCCCATCTTTCCCTCCACTCTCCCCAATTTAACCTGGACATTCTCAGGGCCTCTGGATACAAAGTCCTTAGAGGAGCAGAACTGCTCTGAGGGAAGTGGGGCTGAGGCTGAGAGCTCTATCAACCCAGTTCCCAGGACTCCCAGAGCTCCCTAATTTCCTCCACCCACGGGGAGACACTTTCTAGTTCAGGGTGCCTGGCTTGAAAACCTTCTGGTGAGGAAAGCATGCCAGGTGCTGACACAAACCTTGCAAACTTTAGAGGACACATGTAGATTCTTATTTGTGATCTTGTTTGTTTGGAGGTGTAAACCTCTATTTGGTGAGAGCAGTGGCATAATCTTCTCTTCTACTTCTCTTTTCCTCCTCTAAACTCTCTCCTTCCGTCCTCCCTTCTTCTTCCCTCTGCAGCCCCTACAGAGCCAAAGAGGACCACAAGGATTCCATATAATACAGCCTTATTCCCAGTGGGAATTCTAAGATCCCTTTCAACCTAGGGCAGTCGTCGGCAAACCTCAGCTCACGAGCCACATGCGGCTCTTTGGCCCCTTGAGTGTGGCTCGGTGTTAGAACCACTTCTTCAAAATAGACTCACCCAGACCGAAAACCGACTTCTGTGCATGGGCCACAAAGTTTCAATTGCACTGTACGTGTGCACCCGCACATAGTATTTTGTGGAAGAGCCACACTCAAGGGGCCAAAAAGCCACACGTGGCTCACGAGCCGCGGTTTGCCCACCACTGACCTAAAGAATCTATGATTGATGAACTGACTGGCAAGAAATAATTGTAGAACAAACGGAGCCAAGAATGAAGGAGGGCTAGCTGGTAGGGAGCAGAGTGTGCAGTGGTATAACTAAGGGTGCTAGGGCACTGGACAAGTGTGTGTGTGGGGGGTGGTTCCTCTTTATTCACTCTCCTCCCCGCAGTCTCCATCACAATGGAGATGCTGGTGGGTACATGGTTGGCAGAGGCCATTGGAGATGATCTATGTAGGGAGCTCTGAGCTCTTATGCTTGGGCCAGTAAGGAACTTTCTGGTTAGTGAAGTATCACCTACTATCGATATGCCTTATAGACTCTCACCATATAAACCAGAGAGGGATAACTAACTTGGAATAATTCAGAATACAGTTAAACACCAACAATATTAAACACCAACACTCACCAAACAGATTGGTTTTTGGTAGCTCCTCCATGCATACTCTACCCTTGGGGGTAGAGTAGCTCTATATAGCAGCCATCAAATTCTCAAAGGGTCCCCAATTGAGTCATGCTACAGTGGGTCTGATGCATGGGTTTACCAAGAAAGTATGTTTCGAAGACAAGGTGCCAGTCTTAACCCTGTTCTTAGGCTCTGTTTTAGATCTGGATGTAAAAATGCAAGACCTGAAAATACCCCTAATTAAATTGAGAATTTCTGCTAAGACAGACATGAAGAACTCAATAAATGCATTCTGGATTGAGTACTTGAGTTTTGGAACTGAAGGGGCTACTGGGAGACATTTGGTTGAGGGACTCATAAGCAATTGCACATTGACCATATCCCCAACACCCTGGTTCTCATTACTAAAAAAAGCCCTTCATCCTTCAGTTTTGAAAATTGTCTCTAATGTTCTATTCAGCTTGGACTCCCTCTTGGTGGCATGTCTTTTAACACATTTACCATGTTCTCCTCCCCTTTTCTCATTCATATTAATCTCATCTCCTCCACCCCCTAATTCTAACATTCAGAGGTTCAATGACTTTTTCAAGTGTCCATGCATCCCATCCACACATCAAGATTTTAGAAGCATGGTATTCCAGAATACCTGAGTTAGAAGAGACCCTACAGACAATCTTGCCTCTCCCCTCCCTCCTTTTGTAAGTAGGGAAAGCAGCCCTCAGAAGAACAGGGAGTTACTTACTCAAGCTCAAGCATCAGGTTGGTGGCAAAATCAGGACTCGAACCCAGGTCTTCTGGATCTAAATCTGACCCACTTTCCACCACCTCAAGCTGTAGCTCCTCCAGGAACTGTGCCTCCTCAAGTTCAGAGACCTCCCCAAGCTGGGGCTCCTCCCCAAGCTGGGGCTCTTCCAGCCTTTCCCCCTTCATCTCACTACTGCCTAGGAAAGCCTTGATTGCCTGGCTGAGGTTGATTCCTCCCTCTCCTTCCTTTCCTCTCTCTCCTCTCTCTCTTCTCTATAGCTTCCAGGCTACTACGGGAGCAACTGAAAACTCTCCCAAGCTCAGAAGAAAAAATGCTCAGGGAGCCTCAGGGCCAGCCTAGGCTGCCTTGGCTGTGGAGGCTGGAGGAAGTTCCCTGCTCTAAATGCCTTGGGGGCTCCCAGGCTCTGAGGAAAGGCTGACACTCCTGGGGCGAGCGCTGCCCTCCAGATCTTCTGTCGAGGCTGGGCCAGCTTCCTAAACTAACTCCCAGACTGAAGGGGAGGGCCGGATCCTGGGGTGGGGGGTGGGAGGGTGACCCAGACAGCAGCTCTGCCAGCCAGCCCCTGTGGTTGGAACTTTCAAAAAGACCAATGTTTCAGCAACTGATTTCTTTTCCAACCCGAACAGCAGGCCTTTCTGTCCCCCTTGCATGACTGTGGCTGTGGCATGCAGCCCCAGCCTGTGCAGAAGCAAGATTCCAGGGCTGGGGCTCCATAACACCCAAACCACCGGTCAATTCCATTAAATAGAATCAAATTAAAAAACACGGTTTTTGGCATCAGGTGGATCCAAAGCTGGTCTCCTGGCACGGATAGCTTGTGTACCTACTGGGATGGGATGTGCACAGTCGTGTAGAGACGAGAAATTGGAAGACCATTGGATCAGAAAATCAGGAGATATGGTTTCTCTTTTCAGCTGGTCACTTATTGGCTGTTTGGTTTGGGGAAGATACATACCCCACTCTGGGCCTCAGTTTCCTCATCTGTAATTGGAGAGTCAGACCAAATTCTGCAAAAGCCCTATGAGTTCTGAGTATCTGTGTCTCTGCCTAAGATGCATGTGGAGGCAGAAGGTGCCGGCAGCCAAACCTGGAAAAGTAGAAGCTCATGGTCTTGAAGAAGCCTTCCCTGCCACCTCCACTATGTTCTAGAATCCTCCATTTGCTAGCTATGCCAGCAGGGTGACCGTATGCTTCTGTAAGTTTTGATCTCTGGTAAAAATTTCAAAGCTCCCAGCAGCTTTCCCTTCCCCATGCTGGAGGAAAACCTTCTCAGTCATTAATACCTGATTGTGGATAAAGAAAGTTTAGAGAGCAAGCCTTGACAGGGAGAGAGCTTGACTGGGTTGCAGGTGTTAACTGGCTCTAGTCTAAGCAGGAGAGGGTGTGTGATTAACAGAGATATGGGAGGAGTCAGTGAGCAGACTGGTGACAAAGTGAGGCAAGGCAAATCAGGGAAGGTTTTGTTCTGGTTCCACATATGACTTGCCTAATGGTAAGAAAGCTTTGCTTGACTGAGTGCTTCCTGGGAGCATCCTCTCTTTTAACCTTCTCCACCACACTTCCCCCATTTTCTAGATGAATAAGCTGAGGTCCAGAGAAGTTGACTAAACACGTCAGAGTCTGTCATTGGTAGTCTATCAAATGGGAAGGCCCTGTGCTTTATGAGCACATAGTGGCTAATGTCCTCTGCTACTTAGTGGCCCCTCCAAGGCCTTTGAAGGCAAGAGGGGCCCATCCCAGCTCTCCCACAGGGACCAGCACCTCCCATTCTACTCTAGGATCCTGACTCCCCAGGACTCAACAGCCCTAGGCACACCTTGCAGCTAATACTAGAATATACTAGCAAAGCCTCTCACACTTAAAATATATATTTTTATTGATTTCAGAAAGGGAGAGATAGAAACATCAATAAAGAGAGAGGATGATTGATCGGCTGCCCCCTGCACACCTCATACTAGGGATCAAGCCCACAATTTCCTGACTGGAAATCAAACTGCAACCTCGTGGTTCATAGGTCAGTGCTCAACCACCGAGTCATGCTGGCCAGGCAGCATCCCAAATTTGAATAGGAGACTGAAGACATGGCATTTTGGAGACATGGTCATTTCTGGGGTGCAGTTTCAAGAATAATTTTCAAGCATTAGCTCTTTATTCTCTTCACTGACTTTCAACTGTTCATCTGGCAAGTGATGAGCTCTCCAAAATCTCCCTGCTCCTGATTTTTAGATGATAGACCATTATGGCCCTTAGAGAATCACTCTGCCTAACTAAAGGCTGCTTGATCTTGGAAATGAGAAAATTTCCTTGGGGGTTTGCTCCTGAGGGCTTCAGTGATCCAAAAAAGCATCAAAACCCACATCTTTGGGCATTAGCAGTGACTGGGTTCATTTTGCCTTTTCTGGACACTGATTTGGGGCAAGAATTACTCACAGTGGGACATATGAAGTGCCAAGGTTTTCCAAGGTGAATTTTCTTTTTGTGGATTTCCTAACCCTGAGGGAAGCCCTGTTAGCTTGTGTTCTTGCAGCTTCCTGCACTTTCCCCTCATTATGTTCAATTGTAATGATATGATTATATGTGTAATTATTATTTGATGTCTGTCTCTACCACTAGTTTGTAAGTTTTCTGTCACAGGATCCTGCCTAGTTTTTTTGGTTGTCACTGTAACCAAATCTGTGTCTAATCTTTGTTATGCTCATGGAAGAAGAAGTCATCCTCCTCCACAAGTATCAGGAGTGGGCAGTTTTATTCCATTGCTCTTAGGGGTGCTCCCCAAAACTGTTAAGACTATGGAGGATGGGTGCCCCTACTGAGGTTAATTTAGCCAGGAAATGAGAATGCTAAGGAGATGGGAGTGGATTCTAATAGCTCCTTAATCTATTCCCCCACACCATTTCAATCCCAGTAGAATATATCCTCATTTTAATGACTGATCTCCAATGGAAATTTTTATAAACATTTTTATTTTGAAAGTACTTTAATCTATCACACATTCACTTTCTTTTTCCTTGGAAGCACCTGCCTCTGACTTCTTTGCTTTCCCCACCTGTCCCTTTCTGTCTATGATCCTTATAACCAGCCATCACACTTTTATCCAGTTTTTTATCGTTACTCTCACCACCATCTCCAAATTTATAAATTAATATAACATCCCATGGTAATTTCATCTAGTTTATTTTAATGCTTGTAGTCAGGAAATGCTTTCTGCTATCTAATCTCAATTCTTCATGCTACAGTAGAAGCCTGTTTCCTCTTGTTCTGTTCCTATTGTGGTTTGGAAATAGCTAGTCACCATCTCTGAGTTGTGACTTTTCTTGTATATGAAGATTAACCTCTTTTTTTTCTTTACCACCCTTCACCCCACCTCTGGGATCACTTACTTAGTTCCTAAAGCCTAGCCCCATAGTCCCCTGAAGTCTCAGGTTTACCTTCTGTTGTCTAAGGAAATGCTGTCAGCCTTACCTGGACCCTTTACAATAAGAATCCCTTGGATCATAGTGGGCTTTCAGCTGTCACCTGTCTTGTCATTGTGGTAAGGACATCCCTCTCAAATGAAAGCTCTTTGGAGCTCCTCCATCAATTTATTTGCCCTTCTTAGAGGTGTAGCCTCCTATTCTTCTGCATT